GTATCACACAAACAATATGTGAACATCTGATGTCTCTAGTTAGGCTTTTTCCAGTCTCGGGAGAGACATAATATGGGTACGCAGCGCCTTCCAATAAACTCATTTCCCCATTCAAGGCTTGAGACCATACACTATTTATTTCGTCTTATTCATTTTCCTCTATCCCAATGTACCTTTACTTTTGTCCCAACTACAAACAATTACCTCCCACCGAGGTTGTCGACAGGCGCCAGCCATGGAAGCAACCACCCAAACAGAAAAAATCATCATATTGATTAGATTTATTTTAAAGCACACAAGATATCGCATTGGTTTTAATGTATTGTCGTGTGGGGACGGAGTAAGCATACACAGTGTTAACAGCGCTATTAATCACGAGAGGTCCCGTCACGTTCTGCTGGACTGATAGGCTATTGATGAATATTATGGATGTACTCTAAAATTGGTGGTAACCTTGAGACCATGGTCTTGACCACGCGTCACCAACACGACCCTCCTTCTATTGCATCTCTGTTATTGGTTGTTGGTTGGTGGCGAAAATGCGCTATCTAATAAAAGTTAGGAAATCTGAACAATATAACGCACAAATGAACATAATGTTTTTTTAGTTTATAGTAGTGAAACGAATCCACAGGGTACCTGATGGCGTCGGTGGTACCAGGAATTCCTTTCTAGGGTACACCTGGTTCCTGGCTATAGTTACCCGAGACGGCGTGCGGTTCTAGTCGGTTCGAGTCCGACATGCCACCGGTGGGTAGTATCTCGACGGGGATTTTCCGCACAGGAAAAAGAAAAAAAAGTGTACCTGATGGTAAGTGACTACCGACACTCCCATGGACTACTGCTACTCATGCGGAAACAAGTTGATCTTGCTGATCTTGATATGCCCATATTTTTTAGTTGAATGATCATATTTGTAGTTGTCAAGCTCATCGGGACGATTCTGACAAAAATCTTTCACTAATATGTTGTAATAGAGTATATACATACAAAGTGAATTTAAATTATTATAAATTTTATATTAATATTTAAATTATATTCAATATCCTCCATTATGCGGCGGACACGCGCGCCGTGCCACGAGCCACCAGTAGTGTGAGAAAAATGGTTTCGAGTCGGAACCGAAACCCCGGAGTCGAAGCTACCGATCTTTTAAACTCGAGCTCTAAGGACTCCCGAATCTTGAAAGTTGAAACCTTTAGGGTCGGGTCTTAAAGGCTCAAAAGCCTCTAAAAAGAAGGACTCTAAAGAGGAGACGAGCCGCGACTCGTTTGTTTAGCAATTATACGCATTGGTGTGTGTCAGGATGTAGGGGTTGTATTTTTCAGGATTGAGGCTACATGTATTGCAGTATTTGATAGTTCTGTGTACTTTAACGTTCCTCTTCTTAAAATCTGTGTACGTCGTCTAAGTACTGTTAAGTAAATTTGGTACCTCTTGTGTCACCTGTAGAAACAAGTTCCTGTTATTACATAAAGATAAAGAATAAAATGAAATGAAATATAAAAACAATTACTTGAGACATAATTAAACTTCCATATGTGTCTAAATTGGCTCAAAATTCATTTGAAGTTTTGTCTATACTGGCGACTAGTGTTCCTAATAAACAAGTTGTGAAGACCGGTACTCAATTACCTAAAAACAGGAACAAGCTGAGCACAATAACTTCTAAGGAGCGATGTAGTTACCAACGCGATTCGAAATCTCATAATAAAAATATTGTTGACAATTTAAACTTTACTTATGTCTTTTCGTTAGATACATTATTTCTTACTTGGAGCGTGTAATCTATGTCTAAAACCATAATCATCAACGGTGTTCCAATATTTACTAACATTTTTTGTTGTAGTATAATGAGACTTACAGGCGGAGCTCCGCGCATAGGGATATTATGCTTACGCTCGACTCGAACTTGCACAGAGGTAGGCGGCTCGAGTCGTGACTCGTACTTGTGTACTGAGATTCAAGTTTGGATAAAAGCTCGAGTCTAAAAAGCTCGAGCCTGGAATAAGGATCGAGTCTAAAGCTCGTGCCTGGTAATAAGGCTCCAATGAGTTTAAGCTCAGGGCTTCGAGCTTTTGAACAACACTAGCCAGAGCTAGTAAACCATAGTAGTTACATAGATGATTGAAATTAGCCAAACGCAATCGTAAGTTGAAAAAATACGGATATATTGCTTTCAGATTGTGATATAGCATGATTTTACCACAAGAATAGTTAATCACAAATAAATTTTTGAATGACAAACCATATACAGACAACAAACAACTACGTCGACCTTTTGTCATTGTTACACTGTGCAATTTTCAACTATAATAAATAATGAGAAAATGATTTATTGATAATAGTAATAAAACTTCATACATATTAATAACTTTGCTGTCCAAAACCCTTATTTGATCAGTTCTTTATTAAGGGAGATCGTACCGTTCAATGTTGAACGTTGACGCTGACAGAAGGAAATTACATGGAACATAAAATTATAGTTTTTACTACTTGCCCCACAATGTTTGATATTTATTTCACTATTTAAAACTTTGTCTCGACTTTCACAAATATTCCAAGGCCTTTTTTTTAATTTAACCAAATCAATCCAGCTGTACTAGAAAAAATATTTAGGGAATCAGTAAACCTTCTCCATGCCGAGGCTGGTATCGTAGCGAGAAACTCATTCTAGCGTTCGTGACGAATCATCATCTGGTAGATGCCCAAACACGCAGAGAGAACCGGCATTAACCTGTTGCGTTGTGGGCTGCAACAAAGTAACAACAAAAAAATATATTATTCAAATAATATACTAATGCAGCAGCAAATACAATTTAAAATATACTTTTAATAATTTTGAACAAAAAGTATAGAGCTTGCGTCCCTTGGGAAATAGCGAGTTGGTGTTGTTAATGGAACTGACTAGTTCTAGGGTTCTGCGGCCCTGACCATTTCGCTAACTTACACTCTCCAATCCATCCGCATAAAGAAGACTCTTATTTTGACGTTGTCTTCCCATCTCGCTTACCTTTACCCTTCCAAGAAACTTCATATTTCCCAACTATTTTTTTATGGATAGAGGGAACAAACGAGCAGACGGGTCACCCGAACTGGACCGAACTGGAAAGTGACTACCTCCGCCCATGAACTTTTGCCACTCAGGAGTCCCAAGCGCGTTGCCGGCCCTTTGAGGAAGGAGTTTTCCTATTCATCGGATACCTACTCTTCCTTGAATACAGGCGTTGCGTGTACGTATGTATGTTGGATTCCGGTTGGTTTCATTATTCTTGAAACTGTTCTAACAATTGTTCGCTATATTAATAACCTAAATATAAATTGTAAATCAATAATTACATTTGTAGAGATAGAAATACAATGTAAACTCTCTAAGTCGTTTATTGGTATTATTTCAGCTTACAATAGGCTGCAGGCATCTTTGAGTTTCCGAAACCTTCTGAAGTCGTAAACAGCCGTCTACTACTAACTAACTACTAGACCAATAGAGCTGTCAATAAAGGCAGTTATTGACGGCCCTATTGGTCTAGTAGTTTGACCCTGATGATATTCCACACTTAAATAGTAACAAATTTAAATCCGCAATTAAACGTGAATTGTGTCCGAGAGCCTATGACTCCATTGGGCTTGGGACTTAAGTGGAAATGTGATGTGGGCTACAGCGTTTTTTATTTTTTATTTTATTCCTGTTTTTTATGTTTCACCTTCACTTTCTCTTTTATTTGATATTTTTTCCTAATCTTATTTTTCTCTTTTTGTCTTTTTACCTTTTAGTCCTTGATAACGGACATACCGGCACACATCAATGTTGTGGTATATTTAAAGATGCCATTATATTTGTAGGTTTGACTTGAGTCAAACCAGCGCAGCGCACGCGCCGGCATCGTGATATCGGAGGGGAGCGGGAAGACAGTGCGAGCGGCGCTGCCGAGCCGACAGGACGCACGATATGTACTATAAGATTATAACCTCATAGCTCGCGCCTTTGACACTGTGTAAACAAATAGTGATTGTACTTGTTGTTGATTCAGGTATTTAGCATTAAATCGTCCTTTGTAAACATATGTCTCCTGTATGTAACGTGTATTATTCATAAGTACTAATGTGTTTTGTGATTAAACTTTCAGTTATTACTCGCATCAACAGCCGTACTTATTGCCATATCCCACCTAAAGGAAAAAAGTCGTGATTTCCGACTTACATATTTATCTGTAAATTGCAAAAGAGTCGCCATGAATTTGTTTGCCTTTTTCTGTGGATCGGCAAAGGCATATAATAGATTTTGTATAAGCATAATTTAACTATTTGACAAAACAGATATTATTTTATTGTGTGTGTTGATCTACGACCTTAGAGTCTACATAAAAGACGATTTCACACAATTTGATTTTTTTTTTAAGAAATAAAGATATTTTGATTTGAATTGAGCGCTAAGCCGGAGGGCGTGGTTTTGATTTCCAGCCAGGACGAATGTTGTATGATGAGTGCGATCATTTGTTTTGTGTCTGGGTGTAATTTAATCTATAATATGTATGTATTTGAAAATATAAAAGTATATTTATCAGCACTGTGCTACACAACTGTGCTAACGCAGTGAAAACGTTAGGTAAAGTTAACAGACTTGTATTTATCAAGAGTTTGTTGAAATTGAATAGTTGAATTGTAAATTGCACATTGACGTAAGATGTAACGCAAATGCTGTTTTATAGTATAGAAGTGTAACAACCTGACACCATTACAAGCTGTTTTATTATACGCATTCATTCGCTGTATTCTGGGCTCCGTTTAATAGCTTTCTATACATTTTTATAAAAACTAACTGATTACAGAATAGCATTCAAGACAACGGCAATTGCAACGCAAGCTCAATGAAACGAAAAGATGACGCTTATAGTGTCTTATTATTTAAATGCTAGAAGTAAATAAAAACACACATCATAAAATAATATTAACCAAATGTATAGATCTTACTTCTTCTATGTGCGGTGCTGAAATGCCAGTCAACTTGCGTACCCGATGTGGCATTGTAAGCGTCTAGACGCAAGAGACTTAGGTGTCCCGAGAGAGTGGCTGCGCAGACCCGTCTTGCACCTGCGAGAGCCCGCACCGTGCGTAACGCCCTCAGACGACCGCGCCTCTCCACTCCACCAAACACACTATTTATCCAACAGAAATATTGATTTATTGATAGGTGACTCGAGCTTTTTTACATTATATATTCATAATTTACGTTAAATTAAATTCTTAGGCCAATTACAGAGTTTCACGACATTCGTTATACAAAGCTATAAAATAAATAATCTGACAACATTACAATAATAATAAAACATAAAATAAATAATCATATAACACTAAATTATATTAAATTAAAAGAAATCAAAATAAATTGAACTAAACTAAATCAAATCAAACCGAATCAGATCAAAATAAATCAATTCGATTTAGTAAAAATAAATCAAAGTAAATTAGATTAGATAGCTACACTAAATCATTAAAAAAATGTATTTTATCTATTTACTAGTGAGTATACTCGCGATTTGATTCCGATATGACTCCTTAGTTAATTGAAATACCTATATATATATATATATATATATTGCTTCAAAGTTGCCGTTTCCTTGAAGTCGTGTCATAACAGCATTGTACCGTAATTAGTGCGGTGATTAGGTTATATTAACTAAGTGGCCGTGTCTGGTAGCACACTAGGGTACAGAACTGTATACATGATAGAAGATCACTTCTGTTCACTACGCAGGATATCAAGAGTAGAAGCATATCCAGCATCTTACGTCTATCATCGAGAGAAAGAAGGTGAGTGTCTACAGTCCACGGAATACGAGGCATGACGTTCCCCAGACTTAGTTTAGGGTTTTCACAAACCTAAGTAGTACATTATTTATAGTTCCTGCATTACAACTTTCACGAGGCAGACTTAATGCCACATGGCATTATCTACCAGTCAACCTTAAGAGGGTTCAGTAAGGGACATGGCAGGTGCACCTGGATTATGAAAAAAGGAGAGAAGCTATGAAAAGATAACGTTATATGAAAATTCATGATAGTCACGAGGGTACCGGTATCTTTGCCACTTTTTATGGCTTTAAATTTTTTCACGAATGATCTTAACGCACGGTTTTACCACAGTGGATAATTTTGACTTTTAGCCTTATTCTTCAGTAGAATAAAGCGCTCTAGGGTCATCGGTCCTGCTATTAAAAAGAGGTGTGGTTGAGAAACGTAAGTCTAACATTCTACCATTTGAGTTTGTGATAAGATTATATTGCGTGAAATCCAGAACGTTAATGTCATCCACAAAACTAGGTTGTGGGCCGTTATTTATTACAGAGCAACCTTCCTCTGACCAAGTCAAACATGGCAAGTTAAATTCACCCATAATTATACACTCATGACTCATGGTTGACATATGGAGTTAATGTTATTTACGGTTTGACCCATTAAATCTAGTTGTAACGAGATGATGGATCCATAACTCGCATCGCATCGCTCATAGACTAGAATAATTAAGTGCAGTATTTATTTTTTTATTTTACATCTTCATGCACTTATGTACATCGGCGGACTTAATGCCCTGGGCATTCTCTACCAGCCAACCTTTAGGTGGTGTAGAAATCTTGTAAGGTAGGTGCACCGAGGTTACGATTGTATCAATGATTTAATTAGTGTTTTTAGTCCTTGTCTAGACGCATTTAGTTTAGTTACAGGGGTTTATTAGAATATTATTAGTATTACTGTATTACTAAACAAACAATATTAATTAAAAAAAACAATCAGTTTTGTATTTTATAACATATGCTTTGTATTTTATAGTTATAATTTATTATAAAAAAGGATTTTTAGACACATCTGAGATTATCGAAACACCTTTGTGGCAATCTAACGTTTAAAATTATTCGTTGATATAAAGTGCGCCAAATGTGGCGCACTGTCCGTCCGGAAACTGTCCGTTTATTGACAATAGTTTTTAGTTTATAGACAATTGGATCTTAGATATTTTTACATTTAATTAAATATATAGTATAACTATCTATAGTATAGTAAACTATGTATATATCTATAGTACTATGTATAGTATAACTATCTATCATATTTTACTAAAATAAAAACAAACAACTTACCATGAGTTTTCCAGAACTAGCTTCCCAAAACTCGAGGCGGCCATCAGCACAACCTAATATAATAAGATCGTTACAGAAGTCCATACACCACACGGGAGATTCTTTGATTGCCTTCCCTCTCCAGTTCAAATTACTCATAACGTCAATGTCTGGATCGTCCCCAAACTTAGGACCTTCGTACACTAACTTATTCTTACTTCTATTTCGTACACTATTCACATGTTTTTCACTCGAATTAAATATGAATATATCTTCATCACATATGTCATTACTCTTAACACTATTACCCAAATTGGGGCTATTTACATTTAAATTATTAATGTCCACATTTTCTTTAGTGCCAATACAATTACTTAAGTCATTCTGTTGATCGCTGCAGTATAGGTTTCTGAAAACGAAAAATATATAAATAATATTGATATTTTTCAAAAGCAACTGACAATGCTGACCGGTGGAATACTCGGTCGGCATTGTCAGCTGCCTGGCAAAGAATGTATATAAAAGAATGAATGTAGTAACTTAGGTAGAGCTGTAATTATTTGGGTCATAAGAGCTATCCCCTTAAGACACTATTAGCCAATACATACACTGTAGTAAACAATTTTTTGGTAGGTGCAAGTATTTTTCTAGTTAAATATCACACATTAGAAAGTGTGACCTTTATTAACAACGAAATTGGATGCAAATATTAATAATGTATCTAATACTTCTGTATATATTCGTATAAATACCTGTAGTTTTTTGCAAAATCATATTTAGTTGTTTCTGCTGGTGAAAGATGAGGCGGCGAGTCTCGCATTACCGGACGGAACCGTAGTCCGCTCAAATAATTACTTAGACCTTTGCATAATCGGTGTACGTTCTGTGAAGAATGCAGTGGGTTATTGTCAAGAAACATCATTGTGTGTTATAGCGAATATGGTTTCTGGCAAAGGACAGTTCTCCTTTACTTTGTGTTAAGAAGCAGAAGCCTTAAAAACTCCTATATAAAGTTGAAAGTGGTCAAGTTCCAATATTTTTTTACAGATTTAAATTTATTTATTGTAACTACTCAAAATTTAAATAAGGTGTTAGATGTTTTCTTAGATTAAGACAGGCGGAATAGCTTTAGCTAGGAAAACCTTATACAGTACAGTAACAATAGACCTTCTTGAGCTATTGCGTACCTATACAACCCGAACCATCCATATAAGCATTATATTTTTCGTGCTATTGTCTTTTCTTCTGTAAAATCGGGGTTTAGTATTGAAAAGTATTTAACATTACCATTCAATTTCAATAAACTTCTAATATACCTCATTCTTTTTTCGCAAAGTGATTATTTCTATATGAGTGGGACCATACTATGGTTAAAATGTTACATTTGCATTTCTTACTTTTATTTTTTACATTTAAAAATGTGGTTTGCTTTTGTTTTGTTTTTTGTCTAAAAATTGTTATGATTCCGCAGAGTATCAAAAGAATCATAACAATTTTTAGACATTCTCAGTTTTTTCTAAGATTTACTCAGCGGATCATGGTAATAGTTTTAAATAAATTATTACGATCGGATACAGACTGTTCATTAAAGGGTTAGTAAATCATAGAGTACTCGCTAAATATACCGCATTAATAGCGAATGGTTTAAAAAATTGAATAGAGTAAATGTCATTATGAATAATATTATGTTGTATTCTTACCTCACTACCCTTGGGTGGGCTCTCAGTGTCGCAGTTTACTAGAACAACAACACAACCAGATTAGTAGATGCTGTGATTTTAATGTACATTTTGAAAATATAAATTTAACGAATTTTTTAGCCAGTCACTTTAAACACTACAAAATACTGTATAAACAATTTTAGTCATATCATTTCAGGCCGTGTTTAGCCACACTTCTACACTGCTGAACAGTAACTAACGACCAAAATTAGTCGTTAAATAATATACACATTTTAGCGTTTTCTTCACTTAGTCACGAGAATATTTTATAAAATATTACTAGAATTTATACAACACTCAACTATACTTAAGCCAAATGCAACCAATAAAACGCCACTTCCAGATATTTCAAACTTATTTTACAAATCAAAAATTTTCAACTATTTCTACTCGTAGTTTTACGGTTTATGTATTTGAAATTAAATGAGTCAAAAGGGCAATTTTTGTTTTTAACTTTTATTTTTGTCACTAAGGCCAATAACATTTCTACAAAAAAAAAAAGATTCCGACGAATTGAGAACCTCCTACTTAGATAAAAAAAACGGGTTTAATTGTTTAATTGTTACTATGCTGAATTAATTATTGAGATACAAAAGCAGTATGAAAGGACCCCTCAGCCAACAGTCATTGGCGAGTTTTGGCAGATTAAACTTACTGATGTAGTCATGCCACAGGGGTAAAACTGCTGACCAGATGAGTAAGTCAGTCATTCTAGTTAGTGTTACGCATCCCTCACTATGTACATATACGTATTGTATGATATCAGCTACAATTAAAAGAGGAAGCGTAATAAACATTCAAAACTGACTTGTAATGAAAAGAAATGTTTGCATAGTTCCTAAGTTTTACTCTACCTTCAATAGTTTCGTATGGCATGCTATTTTTTCTTCGAAACTTTATCACACAACTCCCTTTGCAACTTGAAATATCTGAAAACATGAAAATATTTTGTTTAATATATATTCTTTGAAGCGGTCTGTATATTGTGTAATCGGTTCAGAACTTTTTGAAACGTACACAAAGTAACTTAACGATGAAAATAGACAGTTCCTTAAAAAAAAGTCTCTTTCTATTGTGTTGTTTTATCGAAGTATGTTTGTATATTATTAAAGGTTGGCGAAAATTGTTTATATACTCTTAATTGTTGCTATTAGTACAAAAGATATTTCAATATATCATCATCAAAACGGGACGTCAACCTAAAGCGTGATAGTTACTCGTATAATCCTGCTAGTATATGGCGGTAGCTGCAGAGCGAAACTAAAAAGGGTTTAAAGTTAGTAACCGATCAACATCAACACTATTTTTATAAAACTTCTGTTATATAAAACTAACAAAAACTAAATGTATCGATAAAACGTATGCATAGTAATACGCTAAACTAATTATGTTTATTAGCAGTCGGGTTTCCAGAGTACAGACTATAACTAGTTTAGAAACAGATAGTCGTACGTAAGGTAAAACAAAAAATATTTACGTAAGGTAAAGCAAATAATATTTTCAAAAAGTTGAGACACTTTTTTTTAACTATTTACAATGTCTGTATGATGTTCGAATTTCGTTGTACAATTAGCGTTACTCACGCGCCGCGGTCAATGTTGGTTATGAGTTCTCCGTTCTGCGAGTCCCACACTTTTATGGTCCCTTGCAAACACGAACTGACCACTTTTTCACCGTCGGTAACTAGACACTCCACCTCCTGGCTGTGGCCTGCAACTACAAGTGGCACTGCTTCCATCACCAACTAATAAACAAATAATTTTTTTTTTTGGTATTGCGTTAGTTTTACATTTTTTTTTCTCTCTTTAAAAAGCATATACAACAGCCTATATGTACCTGCTATCAAAAGGTTTTCTTATTAAGCCATGGTTTACATGAATAAAATAAAAACCGATTGGAATATAGACATTTAGTGTCTGTATAGACATGCGATGACAGATCAAGGACATTTATTTAATAAATGATGATGATTCGAGAAGGCCAATATATGTAAAAGAAGACAATATAATAAGCGCAATCATTAAATGTAATTATAGGTTTTGTATTACAGAAACAACAAACCTGAACTGCGGTTGCTTTGCAATGATTTTCCTATACTCTTCGTCATCGTTCCAGGATGCTCGCCACTCGGCATAATGGCGGGAGCAAACGCACCTGCGACATATTTTTATTTTTATATTCAGATATGTATGTAACAATAGGTAAGTAATAGTCGGTAGGTGCACCAGACCTTGCACCTACCGACTATTACTATTTCCAAATTTAGACAACTTTTTAGTGGGTAAAAATTCAATTCCCGAGAGGCAGTACAAAATGCCTTTGAAGAGTATGTTGCCTCCCGTCCAGCTGATTTTTACAAGAAGGGCATCAATAAACTGCCAATGCGTTGGCAAAGATCCGTCGATTGCATGGGTGATTACTTCGAATAACAGAAATAAAAAAGTTTGAAAAAATAAGTACTTTTCACTTATTGCATACAAAACGGCAATTTCATAGGTAAAGACCTATTATATAAGTGTCATGTTCAATTGTTTGTCCTCTGGTTTTTCAATCTACTCAAAAACCAAGTTAAATAAATAATTACTAAAAAATCTTATTTATCTGTTACTCTTTCTTTACCTGTACAAAACGACCATCATATACGCGATGACAGCGACGCTTATAGTACATAAAATCGCTAGTAGTAGTATTTCCATAGGTGTTGTTGGATATATAGGCAAGTCGGTGTCCTTCCCCCACTGATGAGGCTGGCCTTTGGTATCCATCGATTCGAAATCTGATAAGGAAAATTTAATTAATTTTTCAGATATCTTGGAAAAAAGTCTCCTTCCTGCAGTCCGGACGCACTATCATAACTTGGGTAGCCCCAGTACATTCATCACCATATATTATATGGCACATTCAATAGATAGTCAGTGAAACAGTCAATTGAAAATTTAATAATAAAATTGTTATTTACTAAACGTTTAATGTTGTAGACGAAACGTAAATACTGAAAACGAATGGAAACTGTCATTCAAATGCAAAGCACGATCGTTTAGTCGTCATAATAATGAATACAAATAATTTTTTCCTCGACGTCACATCGCTGTGCTTCTGTCACTATGTCTTTTTCTTACGTAATTTGATTGCAATTATTTTCCGAAACGTTTATAAAAAAAAAAAAAAAACTCACCTAAATAAAATATCTTATGCAAATCAAAAAGTCATGTAACGCAAAATTAATTACCGTTGTAATATTGCAATTATTATTAAAAAACTAAAGATTTTTAACACTGTTTTTGTTGTTTTTTGGATTTCCGAATTGACACATAATCTCATTTACATGATTACCTTGTGCCCGCTTCGCTCAAGATTTTGTAAGTTTCGTCAAGTAGTCTTTTCTGAAAACAGTACTTTAACAGTATTTCTGGATGCAAAGTATCATCCTATAAACGTGTCCTTACGATTTTTTTCTTAAAGTGCATTACTTAAATTATATTTACGTGACTAACATCAGGTATCAAACCAACCTCAAATGTTACCCATATTGATTTTTAAATTATTTACCTCTTTGCAGCCGTTGAAAGTTAAGTTTCTTTATTTTTGATCAAGATTTCCGAATTGATACATAATCTCATTTACATGATTCCTGAATCAAAATTTTGAAACCTTGTTAGGAGTTACATTTTCTATAATCGGTTCATAACATTCGCTACTTACGTACGCTAAATGTTAGTATTTGTATGTGTGTGTATGTATGTGTACACATGGGGGTGTGTGCATGTGTATGTGCTGATACGTGTATATGCATCTATGTGTATATTATTTATGTGTTATGTATATCCCTGCCAAGGCTTACACTTCTCCTCATTTTAAGTCGACAGTTCTCCCTTAGAGTACCTATATGCAGAGACTTGTAATTAGCAATAAGATTATTAATTGTAATTATACAAAATTGTTATATGTCTGTTAGTCTCTAAGAATAATTAAATAAATAAATAAATAAAGGCGTTATAACTATCTGGTAGCAAAATTTTAATTAACCCGTACTGCGTTTTGAGCTATGCTTTCCTATCATCTACCAAACAGTACATTAATGAATCGACATGACCCATGTCATGTCGATTCATTATGGAATAATCCATAATAAATCAATTAATATGATGTTCGTTTCCTTACCTTTTCTAAAAGAAGGCTTGCATTTTTAAACAAACTGATGAACTAGCTACTTAACTGCTCAACGAAATAGGGAATATCATCAATTAATATTAAACAAAGTTAGAGCATAGAATTCATTAATAAGGCTGTTAAAATTAGCGTGTCTAAAGCCTAAACAGCTTTAAAAAAATATAATATTAATCACAAGTATGAAGTATATAGTAAAAATTTGTTATTAGGGTTCTCCTAACAATGTTTTTGTAAAAAAACCAGATGATTTTGTACGGTTATCTTTAATCTTCAGTTATACAACTTAGAAACTAACTATCGGTTTTGTTAGTGTTGCGTAGAATTAAATTTAAATACAAGAAAGTGAGGTAGTTTTAGGCAAATAAAAAATATACAAGCCTGGTACGTAATCTGGTGGATCAAGTGCAGCAGCAAGAGCCTGCCAACGCATTGGAGGCGGATCTCTTTCATCGGGGTTGCGAATACCAGCCGCCAGTTCTGGAGCTATACGATGACTAAGCAATATAGGCGGTAATACGGCTACGTGATGACCAGCAACCGATTCGTTGTACAGAGAAAGAATACCAGACCAATGTTGTGATGATAATCTGAAAAATAAATTGTAATTTAAAGCATTTATATAGTAGCACGTATTCAACGTTAACCTAATTCGAAATTAAAACGAGTAGTTAGGCTTCATCTACGATAGATAGTTGTTTACCCACTTACGAAAAGCCAGTAATTGGTTCTGCGTACAAAGACATATAAACTAACTAAAACATTAATTCTCGAATATTTTCTATACAAAGAATTGATAAATTACAATATTAAGATGTGGTATTTTGCTTATTTGAGATATATAGCGGTTCTCGAACTGTAAATACTAAATCGGTCACCGGTAGATTGTAGTTCACATATATATAATGTAACAGATTTTATCATCTTCTCACCTCGACCAGGGCCTTGAATGTGGTGAATGTTTTAACATAATGGTGTCATTAGCATCTACATCAGTTTTTTCAGTCTCCACTATATCCAATAACGGTGGGAATACGAGAGGACTCTCGCTACTATTGTAGAACCCGTACATCGGCTGTTTTGGTTCTTTTTTTTCATCAATCTTCTTGTTTACCTCAATGTCGGTTTTTTCAATATTGCTGATAAAATAATCTACTACGCCGGAATCATAAACGATCATTGATATCCAAACAAGCATCCATACCATAAAAGCGCGTTGGAAGAAGCGTGTTCTCGCCCACATATTTACGAGACGAATTCTTTTGGGTACCCTGTGGTCCTGATGGCCAGGGCTAGAGTTTCTTTTGGCCACCACATCTGTCGGGCTGTTGTGCGATAAACCGTTCAGCCTTGGATGTGACTTAGATTTCGTCATTCTTTGAGGAGGAAAAACTATTTTCTTCTACGTAATTCTTACTAAACCGCCAATTGAGAGCGTTGTTTGCATTAAAATATTCTTTTAGGTGTAATTTATTATTTTGGTCTTGGAAGCATTCCATGCGTCGCACGTCCACTCCAAGTATCGTAGCAAAGAAGGCCATTTGTATAAAATAATCTGATATTAGACTCACTATCATGAATATTGAGAACTCTTGAATAAATGGAACAAAGGTGAAGAAGCTAACGGTGAGAATTGTTATTTCGGTAAGTAAGTTTTTGGTGATGGACCAACCCTCTTTGCTGAGTCCCTGAGCAAGACGAATTTTAACATCTAACCGGGAATCAGTTGATGTCACGCTCTTAGTGAGGACTAACACATTTTCCAGTCCAACTATAATAACAAGGTAAGGAAATATTTCCTTACCTTGTAAACTTAATGAGAAACCGAAAAAGAAGCAAATCCCCAAGGACATTGCCAGACTACCGCGATAGTGAGAACTGCGCACGCCGCTAGACCCAATTTAGATTTAATAAATTCAATCTTTCTTACAGAAAAATATACATATAAAAATAATCCTACGAATGTGATTGTTAGAGGCACTGGTTCTCTATAGTTAATTGGCCTGGATAATAAATTAATGTGAATTCATTCATATGTGTGTATGGTGGCTCTTGATATAAAGGGTACATTTCCTTCAGCTTTTTAGTCAAAGATTGCATGAATCTGAAACAAAAATAATTTAGCTTACTAGAGATTTAGATAAGCAACATGATAACAAAATACATTATGATAACATTTTAGATAAGAAAATAGTTATTGCAAAAGATATATAAAAAAAATTTTTGGGTTGAATGGTACTTAACAGGTTGAACAATTCTCCGAGCGTTTGCCCAAACTAGGTTGGGCTCGGCTTTCAGTCTACTACGAAACGGGTAAACTTTCATTTTTTACGTTGAGTAGTTGCCAATCAGACCTCCACAACCCAAATACTAGGCGATATTGAAGTTCTGAATACAGGTTAACGCGTTAATCGCTATTTCCGCCAAATTTATTTTATGCACTAGGCATTGCTAAATTTTCATCATAAAATATTTCATCCCGATGAAAATATTCAGCAGCGTGGCCACTAATTCAAACGTACAAAATAGTTTTATGCTAGTTACGTAAACATACGTACAAATGTAAATAGTGCGAGCGTTTGAAGATGTGCCTAATGACAATTTGGTGTTTCGAAAGTTGAAAGAAAGTGTTCAAAAGCGTGCTAGACTTAGACCACCTATATTTTGAACATTTATTTACAAGCTTTTATTTAATTTGTATGTATGTATGCAACTATGTTTGTTCGGGTAGAATATTGCATCTTAATTTTGCAGCAGATATCTTCAACCGATTGAGCTGAAATTTTGTGTACACGTTTAGTTCGGATGACAATGTATGGTTAGCTGTATGACGTCATTCTAAATCCAACATGGTGTCCGCCAAGATGAGAGATTATGTGAGATTTATTATTAGTTATTTTTAAAGCCCTCCTACAATATGGGTATCAAATGAAAGGCTTGCTAAGAATTATTCTAAAAATAAAGTGACGTTACTCTAAATCCAATATGACGGACTTTTAAAGATGGCGGACTAAGTTTTTTATGCTTTCCTACAATATGGGTATCAATGAAATTACTTGCTGAGAATACGAATGCTAGGTGCTACTGTTCGAAATTAACCTAGCAACAATGATGCGTTGAATGAAATCAACAGACTGAGAAACCTGTCCAGCGATAACTAAAAAGTAAAAAAACATTTGTAAAAACAAGATTTATTTATTTAAATTAACTAAAAAGAATAAAATGAACATTTCCTTTAAAACTTTTATATATATGTATGTATATTACTCTAAGGGCAAAAGAGAGAGAGAGGTCCGAGCACACATTTTCTTTCTCTCATAGCCAAGAAGATTTACTTCAGTCATGTGGTCTAAAACACACTCGTTTTGTTATTTGTATATAAATGTTCCTTTTGTGCGAACTCACTTATAAAATGATTCAAAAATCAAAAGTTACAATAATTATTCTAATTATATCAATCGAAAATAATGTGTCCTGGAAGGGCAGGTATAGCCGAATACTGCTGCTATGCTTAGGTAGTAGGTAGAAGAACACTTGGGTGCTGTGCACATGTCATGACAGTTGTGTGGTAACTGGTGTCGGCCAGGTATCAGATGACAATATCAGCATCAGCGTACAGCATACCATGATGCTGTAGTTATGAGAGAAGAGTTAAGAGGGGATGTCGAATAAAATATATTTTTTGTCAAGACTTTTTTATTTCCTAATTTTCTTTTCTATTATTAGGTACTTTTATCAGCGGTTATCTGATCTATATATACGCTAAAAACTGTGCTTTATCTGCCTTTAAATTGACTTACTTTTTATCCTAACCTCAATAGTATTTTTATCAAAAATAAATGATCTTGGCTACTTATATATATATTATTTCCAGACAAGATAGTGTTTACTACATGAAAACAAACTAATCTTACTAATAGGGGTTAAAGTACGAAATTGCCATTGTATAGCAATAGATACTTTAAATTGACAAAAAATCCTTCGTGGTGTGAGATTTACGTGTTGATTATTTTTTTTATTCTGCTTAGACGTGAAAGATGGGAACTATTCGGTACGATGCCCCTTACACCTTGTATACTTTGAATTGAAATGTGCATTCGATTTTCGACTTTTAATTGTTTTTTTTTAATTTTGCTTAGACGAGAAAGATGGAAACTGAAAATCCAAGTCATTTTTGAATACGAGTTCTGACGCGGAACTAACGCGGCAGAAACGGCTCGCAATATCAACTCTGCGTTTGGAGAGGTGACTACTAATGAAAGCACCGTTCGTTTTTAGGTTATACGCTTTCGTGAAGGAAACTTCAACTTGAAGAACGAACCACGTGGAAGATCACCCACACAAGTGAATAACGCTGAATTGAAGGAAGGTGATGGAAGCCGATTCGAGTCAAACTACCCAGGAATTAGCGGCATGGACATTACTTGATTTAATGAAATTATTTAATTTAAATACCTACCAAGTCAATGTTCTTAAAGATATAAAACAACATTAAGGACACAAAGTAAAACAAAGAACTATATTTTAAAAGTATAGGTCTTGCTTAGTCATCGCCTCGTGAGCCCGGCCCGAGATCGAGTCTTTGCCGTGCGTAATATCTAATTTTGTAAAATGAGATTTTGTGATATAGTTCTTAATATACTTAAGTATATTATATTTTTTATCATATATTATACCTTTGGTCAGGATGTTCGTAAAAAATGGTGACAGCATACTGAAGAACTCTTGATCGAGATCTCAAGGGTATCGTTTGATTCCGGTTTCTCGGAGATGCATGCCGAAGGCCATCTCTGCAATTGAAGTTTTGCCTTTCTGCAAATTCTGAAATTAAAGACAACTATTTTGGGTCTATCTTTATTCAACTTAATTATTTTCTGCATACGTTTGTAAAAATGTTTGACTTCGACGTTGCAGTAACTAAAAGTTCAATGCTCGTTCCAGAGTGTTCTTAGATGAAACGAACCCTATACTTCAATGAGTTATGGAAAAGAAAAACGATGAAAGGTAATATAGAAAATAAACAGAAAACAGATTGTCTGTCACGTTTATTAATATCTAACATCTTTTAACAATCACATTACTTTAACAGCCTTTGCTACTCCAATCCTGGACACAAGCCTCTCTTTGCTAAAGGTTTTGCCCTACTATACCACTCTGGTCAGACAGGTTGGCTTAAGGTTTATTTCAAGAATTCCTTCTCTTTGCACTGCTGTTGCCCTGCGTAGTTCATTCTTTTAGTCGGTGTTACAACACCCACGGCACGCGTGGTGACACTCTACCTTTTTAATGTCACCACATGGAAATGTGATGATATGAATGGATATCATTTAAATAGTTAGCAAAGTATAATATGACCTGAGGAATGTGTTCGTTGAGTCAACGTGCCAGTAACTAAAACCGAAGCTACCCTAACCTTGCTAAATTAGTTCGTTTTTTATATTCGATATTTTAATAACGGCAGACATATTAAAAAGAATTTATGAAAATTAACATTAAATATTTAATTTATTTAAGAGTTTTGAGTTTTATTATTTTTGCAATTTATTGGCTTGCTCTATATTTTAGCTTCATTATTACGCCCAGTAATAAATGTTACCTGGTAACTGTATACACTGGCGATAATGCTGGCATCTAATGCAAACGTTTGCAAGTTTTGCTGCCACAGATTAGCAGGTGACAGTAACAAGCAGCTATACTCAGGAAGGACACGATTAACACTCGCTTTACTATCCCTTCGTTTGATGCCACCAATCTGATAGCAATGTTGTAGCAGTGTAGTCTTTCTGTAACAAATGGAAAATTATGGTAATGTATACTATACCCTAATATATATATATAGTTTTAATATGAAATCATTAGGATTTTAGATTATAGTTCCCTTATTTATATTATATCCGCAACCGGTTAAGCTAGATGTATTCCATTCCATTTCGCCAGCTTTTAACCACACAGTTAAGAATGGATTTAGCTAGCGCTATATTTTCAACATCTACAAATTTTAATATAGTCTTAAATGGGATATTTATAATAAATTTATATGCAGGCAGACAATCGCGCGCTAGCATATTTGCCCAGATTGATTGATTCAGATTACAGATTAGTTATTTATATTGATATATCAAACAAATATAGCTAAAAGTTATGTAATATGGCAGACCTCGTTATTTTAAATTATATTAATTAGGTACTTGCCACAATAGCTTAAATATCTAATGAGATATTTGCAAACAACAGCACATTAGTTTTTAACAGGAGTGATATAAAAACGTTCACTAACAGTGTTTATCAAAATGTGATTGGTAAACAACCCTATATAAGAAACAACAGTGATTAACACTCTAAAAGTGTAGGAAAATGGATAAATCTTTAAATTGAAATAACCAAATAAATTAAGTATTTGATAATATAATATGGCATAGTATTTAAATTGCAAATTGTATTATAATAAGTACTTTTTTGTATAAGTGAGGAAAATAGTAAACAATGATAAGAGGACAGCTCCCAAAAGAATAAGAGTGCTAAATCTTGAAATAGCAATCAAATATGAAATAAACTTTAAAGGCCTTTTGTAACGGTGCATTTCGCACCATTACAGTAATTTGAACCTTAGTCTCGTTTTTGTTTTGTTAGGTTGAATTTTTTGTCGTTTCTGCGTGTGCCGATGGTCGAGGGACGGACGAGAGTAGTAATCGATGTTGTTCGCCCGCGATTAGTTAGTCGATTTAGTTTTTCTTGTCCTGGCAACATTTTTGTTTCCCCGCTCTATGGAGCGGCAGGCTTTTGCACTGGTATCACGTTGGCTTCACTTTTGGACCGGCCGCCGAGTGAAATGAAGCAAAGCAAGTTTTGTCATTTAATTTTTTAGTGATCCGTATTTATTTGATATGGACGAGGGCCTATTTCCTCTTTAAATGTTTGGCCAACCTAGTTAAGACTCGAGCTAGTGGATCGAGTGATTATTTTTGTTGAAAAGGTGGGTTTTGTTCGGCCACGTGTTTCACGCTTGGCTTGGCGGAATTGTGGTTTTAACTCTTTGTTTAATTGGTTACAGGCAATGCTTATAATGCTTATAATGCCGCTGCTTGATTTGTGAAGCATTTTGGGACCCTGGTAAGTGAAATATGATTTCTTGTCAGGGTTATGATTCCTCTTGTGAGATGGGCTTTTAACCTATAATTTTTCCTTGTTTGCAGATGAATCAGGGTTTTTAGTTTATATCTAAAGTTTTAATTATACTCTATTTTCCTTTTATACCTAAATCGCTTTACATTCTTATTGGAATGTCATTGCGTGGCATTCGATTTTTGTCTCTCGCCGGAGTTTGACCCCAAGAAATTAGATTGCTGTGGAGCACCGGATTGGTAGAAAAAGCTGCTTAGCTGCACGCCATTGTCTGGAGCCGGGGAGTGCTAACCCGCCTCTTACACCACGTGGGAACCGGAGTGAGAAGTTTCGGAGTTGGTTTGATTTCGTTTCATTCGGACTGATCCAAGGTCATCGGTATGTGTTTTGATATATTTTTCTTGGCGACGTGGCATTGAATACTGCAGGTCCCCAAGGGGTGTTATTTTTATTAGAGAGTAGGTCAATGCTATGTCTACCCTTAGAGTTTATTGTTTTGTCTATTAAGTCTTTATGCGACTTTGTTTAAAAACCTATACAGGTCCCCAAAGGGGTTAATTTTAATTAAGGGAGTAGGGCGTTGCTACAACTACCCTTATACTCTTTTCTTTTTGGGTCTTCATGTGACTCTTTAAAACTTATTTAACCTTATATTTTTCTTATTGGAAAGGATTGCATTAATGACAGTACTAATTTGTGTATAAGAATTACCTATTGTAATTAGTGACATAAGACACATTGTACTCTACAGACACTACGGGATAATAAACAGCCATTAGAACTTAACATCTTGTATTCATTAGCTGCCTCCCGCCTTGTTTTAAAAAGGTTCAAAGCTGGCTGAGATGTCCGAGGTATTTGTTGTGTTTGTGGTGGGTTCTGTGTTCTTTTAAGGTGGTATCTGGCGCCCGAGACTTTTATTTTGTTATTTTGTTCCTATTTGATGCCACCCGTTCACCAAATTTATTTATATTTCCTTTAAAACAAACCCAACATATAAAATTAAAATTTTTTATTTTTTATTATTACACTTTCTACTATGGATGATTGACAGAAATGATAGCAACTTTGGTGATGGTCATCTATACTAATATTATAAAGCTGAAGAGTTTGTTTGTATGTTTGTTTGTTTGTTTGTTTGAACGCGCTAATCTCGGGAACTACTGGTCCGATTTGAAAAATTCTTTCAGTGTTAGATAGCCCATTTATCGAGGAAGGCTATAGGCTATATATCATCACGCTAAGACCAATAGGAGCGGAGCACCAATGAAGAATGTTTCAAAAACGGAGAAAATTTATTACTATTGAGAGACGCAGACGAAGTTGCGCGGGTCAGCTAGTATAAGATACTATTGCTTTGTTTGCGTCATTATTTCCTGTTTTGTGTTTCTAATTTTGATTATGACAAACTTTCATACAGCCGAACATCCCTTATATAAGACGTGCTGATGAAAACTATTGTACAAAACGAAACTATTGAATGGCTACTGTAACTATTATTTAGTAAGATAAGCTTATTTAGATTTTTTAATCACTTTATTTGCAATTTGCCGCTTAGCAATTTGTTACAAAAAATAATTATCTTTTGTTTCAAAACAATGAACAATGAAATAAGGATAACATTGTGATACTTACATATCTGGGTCTTCATGGTTTCTTATAGTTTCCAGCAATCTAAACACTTCCTGCAGTGGAGCTCTGAATGCATCCCACATTTTAAGGTTTACTATTCCATGGTGAAACCCCTAAAGATAAGAAATATATGTAATAAGTGATATTTCTCTGGTTAAGCTATTTTACATTAACTTAATTATTAAAAAATACTGGTGATTTTTCAAAATATATGAAAACATACTTTGAAAGATGAGAGTATAAATACTATGTTTATAAATAAAATTCCTTTCCTTATGATTAGATAAAGTTTCAATTCAATTCACAATCATTTTCAGGAAAATATCCAATCTTTTTTCTTAAAATACCTTGTTTAATCATGAGTATTTTTTCACATAGTAATTTTCTGCCTAATCTTATTCTCAAAATCATTTCATTATCCGTTAATCAAATTATTACTTTTTATGGAAAAAATTTGAATATCATAAACTAACATATCATTTTATACATTATAGGTTTTTTTCCATAAAAAATGTCAAACTCTTGGCTTGATCAGCATGCAGTGTCTACCTCAACTTATTTATTTAATTAAATTAGTTTTATTTCAAAAATGATTACCTATTTTCATAATAATCTGCTGTACATATAATAAAGGTTTCTCTTTTGCCCAAATATATGGCAGTTTTTGTGTTTCATTGTATAGGATATCTAAATGTGAAAGTGGTTCTGTAAAAGAAAGTTAAACAAACATATATTTATGATGCAAGTCTTAACAAATGACTATCAAATTGATTCAACATAGTTATTACCTTGTAGACATTTGTTACTATTGCAGTCTACCTTAGATAAAGGATCCAGATTAGTTACCTCCAATGGCAAAGTCACAACAGTTGGTATGTTGCCAGGCAGGGGTACATTTAGTAATGGATAACTGAAAGAAATACAGCTCGATAACAACATACTTTGACCCTACTAAGTTAATATTTATATTGAATAACTACTTACCAGCAGAGTAATACAATGGATAATGTTAATGTGATTGCAGTCACAGGATAAGAAGAACAAATTAAACCGTACGTGTAATAAATTTGTGCCACCCTCTCGGGCAGTGTAGACCCGGCCATGCTTATCAGACAATTACTCGTTTCTTGTCTGAGAAACTGCGTTTACAAAATTTAAGATACCATCGCACATGCATTCACGTCACTTCGAAAATTTAAAGAGTTGTTTATACACGAATATATTACTTAGGATGCATTTATTACGTTCGATAGCATGAGCAACAGAACCATAAACGAATACTAAGGTATTTTGCATAATTCAAGAACATGCCGCTGTGTACACTATGCACTTATTCCCATATTATTACATCAACCAAAGCAACCACGCAGTTTTGACAGATTTACCTCAGTGAATTTTTGACAACAGTGACTCATACCACAGATATCTCAAAAATCATTTCGGATACAATCATGTAAAGAAGGCAATAGCATTGCACTCATTGAGACTAATATAAAAAGAAACTATCGTTACAGTAATGAAGCACGTTAAAAGCTAAACAAAAAGTGGTTATTATTAAAATCATTAAAATCGTTTGTCATGCTATTACATCCACGTCCATAGATGGCGATGTAAACAATATAAAAAGAAGTTGGCTGGTTCAATCAATGAATAACTTTTCTGATACTGCTTAGATTTCAATAAAAAAAAAATATTAATAGGAACGATTACGGTTCTTTGTCTTTACCTCTCTTATCTTATCTTATACAGAACAGTGATTGAAAAACAAGAAGAAAATCATATAGGTCTCTTTTACAAAGTAAACTGGTTTGTAACATGTAATTTCATAGAATAGATGGCGCTATAACTTTAAAATGATTCGGATATGCGAATTGATTATATTTTGTCTGTTTATTTATTTACTCTCAGTTACTCTACGTATTTTATTAACGCCACTGTTAGCAAACCTTAAGAGCATAGAAACCCAAGTAACCACAACTCAAACTTCAAATGTAAAATTCTTAGATTATTTATATTAATCTGAGGTGAAATTATTTTAATAAAATATATATAATACCGTATAATAATAATATCGTATTTAACTGTGTCTATATGATAATAGAGGTTAAAGTATAAAATTGCCATAGTAATATACACGGTGTAAGGGACGTCGTAACAAATACTGAAAATTTCAATGGTTTTCGACTAAGAATCATGTTCTGAATACACTATTTCAGTAGTCACTTACACCTTGTCAAATCAATTAGATAAAAAAAAATGAAAAATGGGTGCTTCTGCAGAAAGAGAACGTTCGTGTTGGAACAGAAATGAAGGAATATTGGATCGAATTGTGGGGAAAAGTGGGTTGTTTACGACTGCCACTGCCACTAACACTGCCCTAAAGCAAAGGCCCCTTACCAATAAAAAGGTAAAGGTAACTGTTTGGTCGTCTCTTCATAGTGTTATTCTCTATAGCTTTCTCAGGTCTGGTCAGGCAATAACAGGAGATGTTTACTTTGCCGAACTTCGAACAATGATGGCGAAATGGGCAGTGAAACAGCCCCAACTCGTAAACCTCGTGATCTTCACCATTATTGCTCCATGATAACGTAAGACCCCACATTGCACGAGAAACCGCTGCAACTCTACAGGAGCTGCAATTAGAAACCATATATCATCCTCCGTACTCGCCAGACCTTGCTCCAACGGACTACCATTTTTTTCGTGATTTGGACAATTTTTCTACGTGATAAAAAACATTATACCCAGGAGGCAGCAGTACAAAATGCTTTCACACAGTTTGTCGAATCTTGATCCCCAGAGTTTTATCGTAATGGCATAAATGGACTTCCGTTTAGATGGCAGCAATGAGGGTAAATATTTTCATTAAATATATATGTTACATCTTAGAAAAAAACGAGTTTTGATTTTTCAGTACAAATCAGCAATTTCATACTTTAACCCCTAATAAAGGTAATCGTCCGGTGCCTAATAATCGTTTCTACTATGACTTTAATTTTTTATCACACAGTGAATGTAAATTTCTATTGCGACTAACGAGTATATAGTGATTTCTTCTTTGTGATAAAGTGGGATAAAAGTGTGCCGGTTTTACCCAATAAACACGGAAGGCATCCGTACGAGAAGTCAGTGCCAACAAGAGGCTGACCAGAGTCAATTTGGCAATTTGGAAAACTACCCTCCAATGTAGGCAATTGCAGCCAGCAATTGAAGCCACTCCGTCCACATCGTCAACGGCTCCAGATATCACGGCTCTAATGATGATGCTCCAGGAGCAAGCCCGCTGTCAGGAGGAGCAGCTGCATCGGGACAAGGAGGAGTAGGACCACCGTCAGGATCAGTTTCTTCAACACGAGAACCGTCGTATAACGGAGTAAAAAAATGACTTGCGCAACAAGATGAATGAGATCTATAAGCATACAATCAGTACAACAGATGTCTGAGAAGATGAAAACGCGTTATGACCGGCAAGTAAACAATACGGGCTTCGAAGAAAGTTCGCTAGCGTAGCTACATAATCCAGTTTGCAGTACAGGGAGATCTCCGAAGCTACTAGCCAAATGGGATGAAACATACCGAGTGGTGACGAAAATCAATGATGTCACTTACTGGATACAGAAGTATCCAAGAGGCGCCCCAAAGATCGTTCACGATGATCGATTGGCGCGATATTATGAAACCGATAATGCTCTGGACGAGCATGTCTCAGAAGGGGCAGTGTTGCGCCATAGGATTAAATGGTGCGATTGTTCCAGAATTGTATGGAATATGGAGGACAGCGCCATCTAGTATCGAGTAAAGTACAACTATTAGGATTGTGTTGAATAATTCTGATCCTTACAGCGCTAGATGGCGCTGCAAGGAACTTTTAACCGATACTGGAATATTCTTATTTGTCTGGAACGGAATATCGAATATTAGCGATCTTTCTAGTAAACTTGATAGCATTATAAAAGCGGAGCTTATTGGCCGTACGACACAGCGAATTAACATCGAAGTGAATTTCTAGTGCGATTAACGAGTTATATAGTGACTTCTTGTTTGTTATAGTGAATGTTACTAAATACAGTGCAATAAAAGTAATTAACCGACAACTTTTATTTATTGTATACCCTGCTCGTAACAATAGTCTTTTTTTTCACATTCATAAAGTAGTGAATGCACGGCTACGTAGGACCGTAAACCTTCTGTTACTAATTAAAGAGCAAAAACAAAACGTTAAAAAGACAAGAAATAACGGTTCGAAAAAATTAAGGACTGAATAGATATCGTTTCGATTTGTTGAGTTATGATTTAAAACCATGATGCGAAAGTACACCCGGCAAGTAGCATGAAACAATTAATGTAACATTATACAAATGTTGAAACGGCTCAATCGTTTCAAGTTGGGACAAATTAGTACTTAGTCGGGTACGTCTTTAGCAACAACACTTAAGGTTGATATTAAAATCCAAACAGCTTGGAAAACTGGGGAATGTGCCGGGCGGTGGGAGGGGTTGGACTGAGGCTATGAGCCGATGTCGTCTTATCGCAAGTGTTCCTCTGCGGAAACACCGCGACCACTTGTCCGCCTGTTCAAACAAGTTATGGAGCTGCTCTTGCTACTAATAGAAATGCCTTGGTATTTTGTTATTTTTCCAAAAACACGTTATAATAAATTATTAGTTTGGAATTGTGTATTTAAAAATGTGACCGGGAGAGGTTTGGAACTCTCTCGGTATGCCAGGTTCAGGAACGGGCCAAGTACTGCAGACGACTCAGCCGCCGGAGTTCGCAGAACGACCTCCGTTTTCCATAAGTGCAGGCCTTGGGGTGACAAGTGAGGCCATCTGTCTCCCGAGCAAAAGCAGGTCGGGATGGCGGCGCGACGCGCTGCGGAGCTCGCTCACCCTTTCGTGTGCAGGAAGCGAACATCGGGGTTCCCACACTGGTGGGAATTATCTACAAGCCGTAAATTGCCCGAGGTACGTCGGGGTACCACGAATTTCCTTTCTAGGATACACCTGGTTCCCAGGTTACTGGTACCAGACGCGGCGTTCAATTTTTAGTCGGTTTGAGTCCTACATGACCTCCCCACTAGTGGCTTGTATCGGAGGAGATTTCCGCACAGAAAAAAAACGTGATTAAGTATTTATAACTTATATTAATATACTTCGATACATCATAATTACCTACTGGTATCAAAGGAATAGGTATTTTATGCACTCAGTCATCGTCTGTTATCAGTAACACCGTCATCATTTAGTTGTAACTACAGCTCGCAAATAAAATCATAATACCTTAGGCTTTGTTATAATAAAATATTTTCTAACTTTTTTGGGCGACTCCATATTATTTCTATTCAGGCTACTCACTTTTTAACAGCGTTAATAACGGTGGAATTAAAGCGCGAGAGGCCGCGGAGGACGATTTAATTAAACCTTAACGAAGATCCCTCACTAACCACCCTTTGCCACCTCCTGCCACCCTTACCTGCTCGATGTTTTATTTAATTTTTGAATCTGTTTTCACTTAGTTCCTTCTTTTGTAAGGTTGTAATGACAATATCCAAGAAAATGTTGGTTTTGTTTCATTTACGTGGGCAAACGACTTTCTGCCTCTTCCTTTAATTATCTGACGCCCGTAACGTTTTCAACATCAAATATAATGATTGTTGGCAACGAGAGAATATTGACAAGAATATTAAATTTAACAAGAAAAGAGGGAGACAGGTCAAGATCGCTAGGATAGATACGACTTTCATTTGCTCTAGCTTTTGCTCAAAATCTTCAACTCATCCGCATGAGCAATATTCATTACCTTCCTTTCTTATCTACCAGTCCTTCAATAGAACCCAATTTTCTTATCTTATTCCTAAGGTAAAATTGCTAGTTACTGAATAGTCGGCATATTAAGAATGTATCTGTGTATGACTTGTTGGTTGTCCTAATAAAATAAATAAACAATAAAAAAGAAAAAACAAAATAACCCCTGTCTACCTCTTCGGGGATATGGGTGTCTGTGTATATATATATATGAATGAATGTGTGTATGTATGTAAGGGTGGGTCAAAAAATCAAGTAAGTATTTTTTTTGGATCTGACACACGAAAACTAGTTGCTAGAAAATACTTACCAAGTATGAGCTCTTAATATTAGTGGGATCATTATCCTCATCATAGTTTTCCATTTTCAATTTAGTTTCATATAAAAATGTTCATATCATATCACAAACAGATTGTTAAACCAGTTGCATCGTCAATGTTCATAGGAAATTCAACGCTCTACAAAAATAGTCTCTTAGACTTTTTACATTAATCTAACCATTTAAAAGATATTCAAGGTCAAAGATTGAATTATTTTAAGGAAAATAATGTTTTGAATTTTGTAACTTACTAAAAATAATTATTGTCAAATTAGTTTCAATTACTTCGATAGTAAATTGAACGCTCTACAAAAAAGGTCTCTTGTGGTTAATTGATTACACTAACCACTTAGAAGATATTCGCATCGGAATCTCAATGCGTACTGATTTCAATAAATATTTTCAATTTATTCATTCAATTTATTTTGTTAGAATAACAGTTTGCAAGTCATTTCTTATCTTTTGGTTTGTATTTCTTTCGAATCAATTTTCCAACGATATTTTCTTTTATAAGTTTTATCGCAATTTAGGATCGTAATTTAATGTTTTTCAACGGGTTTATTTTAAATGTCATTCAAATTTCTTTTTTCCACAAAATGTATAATTGAATATTTTTTTGTTTATGGAATTTGAGTATTTAATTTCAAATGTTGGTACTTCTGTTACTCATACTTGGTAAGTACTTTCTATAGGTACCTAGCAACTAGTTTTCGTGTGTCAGATCCAAAAAAAGTACTTGATTTTTTGACTTATTAATGCCCCTATTAACGGTCTGTATTTTGTATGTATCAGTATATTAATGATGAAAAGCAAATATAATATAATATTTTGTTTGGTTTTATTTTCTCGTACCCATATCGTAATCAAACATGGAACTCAATTCAGACAATAATGGGTCAAAGGATTTCTTAAATCTAGACACACAAAATCAACACAAGTTCAAAATTTAATATAAAACCAATAACCTTTAAACTAGATATAAATTTATTTATTTTAAATGTGTGATACAGAAATCTGTAAAAGTTTACGGTTTGTTTTCTGCATAAGCTTAATTAGAGTTACGGTATCTGACGGATGGTTGTAGCCGCCGTCACACGTCGCTGATAGCCTCGCCATGATCCCGCATGATTTACGGCCGGCTCTCCACCGCTAATGTGTACGCAGCCTTGCCACAACCAAGATGCCCCACCCTTTTCATGAGGATTTGGCCACCGCAAACAAGAATTAATAAACAAAGCAATACTTAACTTTCTGTTAGGTTAGACTTCTGAGAAGCTTTGCAATGAAGTAGACAATTTATAGACTTATACTTATAAAGACTGGGGAAGGTGACCTAAATCTTTGTCATATTATGTCTAGCTTACTATTTTATTCCATATTGTAGCCACCATTTAGGTGATAAGACTATAGCACCAGGGATTTCCTTTCTAGGGTACACCTGGTTCCCCAACTACTGGTACCTGAGACGGCGTGCGGTTTTAGTTCGAGTTCGAGTCCGACATTGCCACCGGTAAGTGGTATCCGAGGGGATTTCCGCACAGAAAAAAGAAGGTGAAAAGACTATCTATATTACATTCCACATCCTTGTTATCACTTTGATGTATTTAACTGTATATTGAAAATAATGAAACAGTACTTAATTCGCATAAGTACTGACTTGCATTTGAGCAATTTTTTCGTTAAACTAATGTGTATCCATTTAAATCATTTTTTGATCATTGATGAAATTTTTCCTATTTTTACCACCTAAATTTTAAGCTTATGAACTTTTAATGTTAATAATATGGTAGCACTCCATAAAACAGTTCAGCACAATGTTGTTATCTGGTGATATAAAAGAGTCGCAATAAGTTATTTTGTTTGATTTTTCTTACAAGCTTCAACTATTTGACAACTGGATTTTAATCAGTGATCATTTTACATTGAGAAAACACCTTTTTTGTGCTCATCTAAAATCTCTTAAAAAAGACAATAGACGACTTAGATTAGATTAGATAACCAATTTTAGGAAATAAAAACATTGAATTATAATTTGATATACCTATCAATAGATTAAAAAACCATACTGCTACTGTGAAAGATTATTTTTGAAAGAGGCTTTTCAGCTTCTTTGTGGATGTTACAGATTTGTGCTACGTGCATTGTAGTATATTTACACAATTTTGATTGGCAGAGAATCGTCATAGCCTCAAAATAAATGTTTAAGAATTACCGGTTGTTGCTGAATAGTGTAATCATAATGATCGATCTGCAGTTGATGCATGTCATTGGTAACATTCCATTTAAAAATAGTTTCCAACTTATTTTTAAAACAAACAGAAGCACCTTTAAAAATGGTTATTAACGTTTTTCCATATTTTCATTAAGGTGAGACTGTTCATTTGCAAAATGATAAATATGGCATAAATTATTTCATTTAATATTCAATTCGGTTCTTTCGTTGCTTCAAATATTACGCGAGTAACGAGGAGATACTTGGTCGTCGACACCCTTTTTTTCTGCCAACGATACTGTTTACTCACTGGCTCTTAATTTTGAGTTTAAATATAGGGGAGAGATACGTTCAAAAGAACACTCGAGGAATCCTAGACTAAGCGCATGGTTACACCTAAGCCTCGTGTTTACTTGCTCATATCTTTATAAACGTACCTACATTTCGTTTTTAGTGTTATTGGTATCATAGTACACCCTTAATTTTACTTACATAATTACTAGTATGATGCTATGTTTTATAGAATTTTGTTTTCATTTAAACACAGTACAACTCTACGGCAAGCAGTAGTGAAATCTTTTGCTACCATATTAGTGAAAAAACAACATTTTATAACGACAGAAACATCTAAATACAAAAATAATCTATCTAAAATTAGCGCTCTGGCCTGTTTAGTCGTAATGTCAACGTTTTGTTAAGTAACGAAGTTTAGGGGAGCTAACGCGACAACAACAATGTCTACTTGGCAAGCGGACAGTGGTAAAAGAGGTTAGTGAAAACGCTGAAAAAATCAATCAGAACAATAAATTGTTTTCAGGAATTATCTCAGCACACATATCCTACTATTATCATCATTAGCTATATTCTATCTATATTTCTAATCCAACTCTAACCCCTTTTAGTTGTGTACTATATCTAATGAAGAGCAACCTCTATGGGTTGCTCTTTTCCTTTACCAGGTCATAAGTGTAAAGGGATATAAACGAGATAATAATCTAAGCCAGGTTTGAATTACAGGGAATTGATGTTTATGACGTGATACTGATAAAAACTATTAATATGAACTATATCTACTTAGAACTTTATTTTCTTGATCTGATGAAAATAAATTGAAATATAAATTGATTTAGAAAAATCACACTGCAAACTAGTTAACTTGAATTTGTATTCGTGGTGTTATATACTCGTTACTGACCATAAGATACGCACGGTGTGAAAATTATCCAAACAAGATCTCTGGAGTAGCTTTCGAAGTGACAATACACATTAAGTTCATGTATTATATTTTTGTATTACTACTATATTTTATTATTATTATATTGTAGCTTTCGGATTTATGAGTACTTATGAGAATCTAGTAATGACAAAAATTTTTGTGCCGCTGGCTTGTTCTGTACGAAAAAAGTGTCTAATGAAGAAAATTGCCATTTATAAAGTTGTTGATCACGTATTCCAACAATATGTACCAGATTTAAGTAAAAGTTGTTTAATTTTGGGATAATTAACTATCCCGAACAAATAGCTATGTAGATAAAATTGGGTTTTATCTATTTCTCGGCCGGTATACCGAAAACCAAAATTAAAACAACAGCAGCAGCAGTCAACAAAAACACTTATTGTTTAAATATAAATTATATTTGCTTAGTTCTATGGCCAGAATTGGACAGAATGTACTCACCAACAATTTAAAAATAACTCTTGTTATTGCGTTTTTGTGACTTGTATGACAACGAACATGCACTAGAATCAGATTTCATTTTATCTATATCAAAAGTATCAGTTAAAACAGATGTTGATAACTTAAATTCACTACTGGTGTACCTACTTGATTTGTTAACTGGATATAAAATTCGACTAAGTTGGGCAACACCAAAACCCATATACATCAAAGTGAGTTGCCTGAAACTGCTACAAAACTCCCAAATAATTCAGATTCGTACGAGTAAATCTGTCTCTAATAATAAATAGAAATAATAATAATAGTTATTTACTTTCACATGTAGAAAAAATGAAAAGAAAATAGAAAAAAATCACAAATAAGCTTAATTTTTATTTCAATGGATAACTACTTAGTAGTTTAGTACTTATATAAATATTTTCTTAAGTAAGAAGTAGTTAATGCAATCACAATAATATTATTTACAGAGAATCTTTCTCTCGGTGCGGTGTAGACAGTAGACAGACAGTCAGACAGTCAACGAAGAGGTTGTAAAAGTTGAGAAAATCTACAACAAAGACGGCTTTAGTAACGTCAGCTACCACAAAACGCCACGTGAAACTTCTTCGCAATCTACTACAAAACCGTAAGTGACAATTTCGGTACCAGGTATGACGTCATAAATCCGATCCGCTAAATCGGCTAAAACTTCGAGTGTCGCAGTCCAGAGGGATTGTAAGAAGTGTTCGGGTACGCCGGGTCTAGATTGCAGGTAACGGAGGAACTATGACGGCTTACGGTCTCCTAGTTCCTCGTGTCTTATTAGCTGATGCACCTTCTTTTCCCGCGACGTGGACAATTGCTGAATCAGCTCCGACTTCAAGTTGTCGTATTTTCCTGTCTCGGGTGGGCTGATAATAATGTCTTCAATCTCCGCGGATTGTCGACAATCAAGCTGGCTACATAGTAGAACTTAGTTGAATCTGCTGTTATTCCGGATTTCGCAAACTGTCCCTCGATTTTAGCAAACCATATAGCCGGTCTCGGTGGAATTCATGCACCCACCTTAAATACGTCGGATGACGCTTTCTCTGTAGTGTTATCACTATCCATTGTTTTCACATAAATTTTATTCAAGTTGGGTCGTCAGTTTTGTGTTCATATTTATTATATACATGTTTATATTTATTTCCTTTATTTTAAACTTCTTTAGCGTAGGTGTCCGTCTGAGATATCAGCTTTTAAACGAACGCAGTGATTTTAATTCAGTATTTTTATTATATTTACGATGGGAAGGTGACTGCATCGTTTTTTTCGCTATAATTATTAGAAGTTCAGATGCTTGATGTTTTGTCCCTTGTAGTTGTGAAGAAAATGTTTCAGTCTGGTAATTTTTTTATGTTATATCAAAAACTTGTAAGACTTATGTCATACTTATACTTAACCTGGTTGAATTTTAGTATTCGTTTTAATCGATAATATAACCCATAAAATTGAGATAATATACAGGGTTATTGGTAATTAGACCAGATCCTTTTAAGAGGTCATGGGGGAGGTCCTTTACTACTCGACTCGACTGTTGTCAGCGCGCGTCAACGCGCGTTAACGCGCGCTTTGAGAACATTGGTTTTCTATGTTTCCGTTCAGTTGAGCGCGCGCTTTCGACGTAGATAGACGTATTTTAGGGATCGTCAAGTTCGTCCGGAAATCGTCCGAAATGGAAACCGAAGCTTTTAATACGGAATTATTAATTGATGAAATAGAGAAACGTCCTGCGATATGGGACATGACAAGTAGCGATTATTCAGATAAGAATTTGAGAAGACGGGCTTGGGAAGAACTCGTCCTTATATTTTGTGAAGGACATGACAATGAAGAAAAGAAGAAAATATTATGTGAGTATATATATTTATTTACATTTACAATCGGTTTTGTGTTACAAGTTAAATATAACGATCCTGCCAATCTACTTTTCCTTCATTGATGAAATAGTTTGTTAAATGTACTCGAACATTATCCGCCTGTCGCACAGCACGTCCGGTATAATGTGAGGCTAGATTTTCCAGGGGTGGCGTATAAAGTGTGTCTTCAAAATTGTAGCCATCCCTGATTCTGACATAATTATTTAGTGTACATATCGCTTTTACGATCTTTTCTGCAAAACCGATGTTAACATCTAACGGCCTGTGTAAAATGCGCCATTTATTGCACATTATGCCAAAAGTACATTCAACTTACCGGCGTGCTAATGTCAAACGGTAATTAAATATTTTTTTTAGCATAAGTTAGTGACCTTCCCCCATATGGACGCATTAAATTCTCCATCATGCCAAAAGTTTCATCAGCCACTATCACATATGGCAACGTTGTCGGTCTATTTTGTATTAACAATGCCTTTGGCTCAGGTAGATCTAATGACCTTTCTGTCAGTTTTTGTACAATGAAGAATTCTTGATTATACCTGAGTCACTGTTCTTACCGTAGGCACCTATGTCAACCCACACAAAACAATAGTTTGCATCCGCTAGCGCCAATAAAACTAGCGAAAAATATTTTTTATAGTTATAATACATAGAACCCGTGTGTTCAGGCTGGATTAACCGTATATGTTTCCCGTCCAAGGCTCCCAAACAATTGGGAAACTTTGAGTTCTTTTCAAATATCGTGGATATTTCACACCACTTTTCTTTCGTTGGTTCACTCATAACAACGGGCCTTATTTTTTTCCAAATAGTTTCACATACATGTGGTATTATAGTAGCCACAGTAGATTTGCCAATTCTATAGTCGTAGCTTAATGTCCCAAATGAACATCCAATGGCCAAATATCTGGAAAAAAACATAAACTATTGCTAAATACTGTTTTTTTTTCAGCGTCATCCCTGCAAAAAAAGTGGAAGAGTTTACGGGATAATTATATGAGAGAGGTGAAGAAAATGAAGACTGTCAAATCTGGATCAGGAGCTTCCAAAACTTCGACATATATTCATTATAATAGACTACGATTTCTACAGGCATCAATTGCCAACAAAGATACAGAAAGTAGTTTCGATGCAGATAATGCATCAACTTCGTCAGAGGTTGCTGAAGTAGAAATAAGTTCTGGCTTTAAGAGTCCTAAATCTACTTCAAGAAAAAAACAAAAATTAAATCCTGCTGATGAAAGATTAGCAAACATATTAGAGCAGAGTTTAGCACAGAAAAATGTGTCGCATCCAAAAGAAGATGACGATGAAGACAAGCTGTTTTGTTTGTCACTCGTTAAAGAGATTAAAAAAAATCCGGAATATAGGCGACTTCAAACTAAAATTGCCATTTATAATTTAATTTTGCAAAACCAAAATGAATTTCAAGGACCACAACAACAGACATATGAAAATCAAAATTACCCGGTACCACAACGAAGAAATTATTTATCACAAGAGCAGCGTCATCAGTCATCAGCTTCTGTTGAAGGCTTTCGTTATCATGATTATAGATCACAGCAGTCTAGTGTGTCAAATAATTTTGCACATTATGGTTATACTACAGCAATGGGGTCTCCATCGCCAGTAACACCTACTCCATCGCCAGCACCAACTAATGTCAGCAATGAATCAGAGTTAGAGTTATTCTGCGAGTAACAAAATGTTATTTTTTCTTTAAAAAAATTGTTCCTAAACAAGTTGATTTGATTTATTTGATTTATAGATTATGTTGATTATTAAAAAACTTACCTCAATGTAATTATGAGTTTTTCTTCCGGTGAAATGCTATATCGCACAGCGTTTTTTATCTGCTACGAGTTCATCGTTTATGAGAGTCAGTAAGTCATCAAATGACTTTATGGACATTCTTAAGTAGTTAAAGAATTTGGGCTCAAATTGCCTTAACTTAGGATATAAAATAATGTACTGACTTTCAGTCAGCCTGGTTGACATAATTGGGTGAACCCAATATCTCCGTCTTCTGTTGTGTCGTTTCTGCCGTCTGTATAAAATCACCGATAAAACTGTTTCTACGTCCATCTTCGACAAATGTAGAACTCAAACTGGCCGCGACAATGCGCGTTTAACGCCTGACAAGCGCGCACCATGTGAACACTATACAAAAATTCAACGCGCGCTGAGCGCTTGTCATCTGAACCTACCCTAATAGTAAATTATAAAATCATAATAATCTGTATCCATGCAGAATGTATCGTATAGTGCCACCAACTTATCTGTTCAGTAGACGGCGTCGCTACTGGAGCGATAGGTGTTGCTATTTAAAAAAATTGTCAGGAGTTTAGGGTATTTAAAACATACGAAATCAAGTGAGCTGTAATTTTAAATATTGATCGAAGTTTATTAATTAATGTTTAAATATCATAACTATATAATTTATAAATTAGTTGAAAAGAAAGAAATATTTTGTTTTGCAAACAGATAATACGATTTATTATATCAAACTAGTTACATTATATTTTATAAAAATAATTGTGGTCGTGATCTCTAAGTTCCAGTGGCTGCACCCCAGGAATCCCAATAGAATATGATGAACTAGTGGTGGGGCAGTCTGGTGATACCCACGGCTCATCATCTGAATCACTTAAATCGCTTTCACTATCACTCTGTAATTGAATAATGAAAGGTTCATCTAAATGAGCATCCTTTTTTCTGTACTCACATGCAATTTTTTTCACGTGTTGGCAGTGGTTTTTCCACTCTGCTGAACTGATCTTGCAAAATGCATTTTCAATTAACTGGGGCATTTGAGCACTTGACTTCCCAACATTTTGCTCTGCAACATTTCTCTTCATTGAACTCCATATCATTTCTATGGGGTTCAAGTCGCAATGATATGGAGGCAACCTAAGCACAGAATGACCGTGGCTTTTTAATAAATTATCAATTTCATATTCTGGAGCAGGTTTGTTTCTTTTTATTAACTCCAGCAGCTGAGGCTTTGTCATTTGCTCTGAAAAGTCAATATTTTTTTCAGATAGCCACTCTTGCATGACAGCCTTAGTGTGGTTAGAGTTAGGACACTTATTTATGCAAACGCTGTGATAGGGCGCATTGTCCATAACAATTAGTGAGGGTTTATGTAGGTTCGGTAGTAATTTTTCCAGAGTCCACTTTTTTAAATTATTGTTGTTCATTTCGTCGTGGTAATCACCACTTTTCGTGTTTGATTTAAATAAAAGCAGAGCATTCTCCACAAAACCTTCTTCTCCCCCTGCATGAACTATAATCCACCGGTGACCTTTAGAGACTGGTTCCAAATCACCTTCGACATCAGGGCCTTGCCAGCACTTGCCAGTTGAGTGAGATGAGTGTATGTAGGTTTCATCTAAATAAATAACTGGTCTATCCTCACCACACTCATTATTATGAATTTTTTTGTAAATAAGTAGCCCTCCATGCGACTATATCATTACGCTCACAAAGCACTTTTCTATTTGATTTGGTTTTTTTAAAGCGGAATCCTATTTTGTGGAGCAACTTTCTGAGTGATTCACGTTTCCCCTGGAAATTGATATCTTCTCTTAAAATGTTCAATAGCTTGGTTACAGAAGGAATTTCTTTTTTTACTGAATAAAATTCATGGATTTTTCTCCTAATCACACCAATATCAAAGTCATCAACTTCTAGTTTCCCTGTTTTCCTGTCCCTGTTTTTACCAGGTGTACATATTTTAGTATTAGTTTCTTCAGCTCGTTTTTCTTCATTCATTAATTTATAAACAAATCGCTCACTAACACCTGTAACAAAAAGTGGCTCATCAAACTTAAGAAATAATGTTATTTTTTATTTATTCGGGTGGAATAAACAGTGAACACAATGTAGGTATACGTTTAACGTTTATGAAAATAAGGAATAGTAAAATGGTGCACTAGTTAGTAGTAGTGGGGGCGACGTATCAGTTTTATTTCTAATTTTCAGTGGATATATATAGACAATAAAATATGAAACATAAGCTGAATATTAAAATAATTTAAGTGGGAAATTTTACTGTCCTTAGACTATAACACTGACCTGTAGCGGCAGCAACACGTTGTGTCACTTTTTCAAATGGTATTTTTGGAGATTGGAGGCGTTGTTCTTCGTTCATAAAAGATATAACTTTTAAAATAATAACTCTAGCATCACTTTTAAGAGCTTTCGGCATTTTAATTGTAGTTTTAATAATAAAATCAAATGATAAACACAGAGAGCACCCACACCTTGTAAACTGACACGCAGATTGACGCAGATTTAGTTCCGATTTTGTCTACTGAACAGATAAGTTGGTGGCACTGTAATCGATTTTTCGCCAAGTTTTTTTTCTATGAAAGCCTATTGCTTTTTTTATTTCTTTTGTTTTATTTTCTTAAATTAAATTCATAGTCCAAATTCTAAGGTTCTAAGATTTTACTGCATTGTTTTTCGTTTCGTCACATTTATTCTTCAATTGTTGTCAACAAAACTGTATTATTTAGCTTTTTGGATATGTAGGAATGTATAAATGTTTTCTAAACAATTTGCAGACAAAATTTACTTGCCTTTTTTTGGAGAAAATGTACATTTTTATAGATGTTTTTGCCGATACGGCCTGTACGGATACAGATTATCATTATTTTATAATTTGCTGTTATAAAATAATGATAATCTGTATTCAAAACCAGAATGAAAACTCTTTAAAATCGGCTTCCGAGCAGAGATTTTTTTAATGAATTTTTAAAGGAATAGACGGGGTTTTCTAAGACAAACATAAAAATTCAATTATTACTAAAACTATTAACTTTTGGATTGTACTTAATGAGGGCAAAGTGGTTGTTAAGGACCTCTCCTATAACCTCTTAAAAGGATCCGGTCTAATTACCAATAACCCAATAACCCTGTATATTTGCAACGTACGGAGGAGTTGCTGCTGCCGAGAATGAGCTACTGTCCTACAGTAGATGCCAACAGCTGGAAAGGGTACTAATTTAATGTTTTTTTTTTGTTTAATTGAATCTTTTTTTTGTGTGTAAAAAGTTTTCTGTGCTAAATGTGATTTGATAGAAGGCCATTCGCTTAAATGGATGTAATTATTCTATAAAGTTTCTCAACTCGTTTCTACCTCCTCAATATTAAAGCGACGGCGTTAGAAACCCTTAAATCGGGCACGTCAAAAAAGGATAGTTTCAGAAATTTATGAGCTGTTATATTATAATTTAGTGTCGCAAACCAGCGGTAAAATTGGACTTAAAAGATCAAGCGGTAGTGTGGGTGACACCACGGGGCATTTTGCACTCAACACGCTCTTAGCAGTTTATAGCTTGTTACTTTGGACACAATACATCATTATTGTTACTGCCATAGAGTATAAGACATTTCTACGCACGCAAGGGACGCTGAACTATTGCAGAAAGATGGCGGTTGCACTTGAATATCATCACTTGAAATGTTATTGGACTATAAATAATATTGTGCATATCTGACACAGTGCCGGTGGATACAAAATTTCATTTATGACTTGATGTTTTTAAGCTATTTTCATTGCACGCTTGTGACCTATATTACATTGACTAAGTGATGACATATTTTATGTTTAAAATTCACAGACGAAGAAATAGACAGACACATGTAGCGATTTTATATATGTACTTAATGCCTAGGGTTAAATGTAACGTTATACAAACAACTGAGTTAGACAAGGATTAAATCGGGAAAGTCATCTACTTCTCAGATTTTCCTTCGTCGCTGTTCCGCTGTAAATTTAGGAAATTTAAAAGTTCGCGCGACGCCGGGGAAAAAATGAGATTAAATATGTTTTGTTCAAGAGCAAGACATTAAAGCGATGTTAAGGGTGTGATAATGAGCGCGTTGATAAGCGTTTATTAGCCGGGCGCGGCCGAGACGGCGATCTCAATAATAGCACCGCCCGTAACGCTATCAGAGGGGAATTAAATCATTTTAACGTAGTTTAGGACGAGACTCCTTAAGAAAAACTCTGTAATATGCCGCTTATTTGGCTTTTAAATTGCACACTTTGTACTCGTTCGCGATGAGTTTGCTGGAGTTTGCGTTGTTTTCAAAAGTTATTACACTTTTTAATGTTCTTGTGAAATGTTATAATTACTTTCGAGATATTGCGGTGAAGTTTTTGTAATGGGGTTGTTGCCGTGTCAGAGATAGTTTATTGTATTTATTTAATTGTTTACTGTTACTGTTTATTGTATATTTTTATATGAAGTGCTTAGCAACATTAACATAACATCTGGGAGTGTAATCCGAGCAGTTTTATTCTGTTACATGGCATTTATTAGGAGAGTGTACATTGGGGCTCGGGGGTGCTAACTCGTGGGCTTAGCGTTGCGGTCGCAGGTGCGCACGGTCCCGACCGGTTTCACCGCACTATTGATGATAGACGCTTCTAGGGTAGTCACAAAGAGAATTACAAATATCCCCGGCACTTATAAAAGTAGAATTTTAATTGTAATGTATGTTGTATATCCATATTTACTTGTGATGTCATGCATGTACCTTGGTGGATAATGTACCTGTGTTCTATTCTTTCTTGAAGTGTAATTTCGCCGATTGTGTTCAAACCAAACATTCTGTCTATTGAAATTAAAATAAAATTGATTTAGGCTAAAGACAAGACAACAGTTTTACCATTTGGCTTTATAATAGTT